ATAATAAACAATTGAGCAAAGGAACTTGGAAAGACAAATGGTCATGGTCCTGTATGAAGCAGCTCAGACCTTCCACAAGTCAATCTGACTCATCACTCTCTTCATTACAATTTCTGTATTTGCATCTTTGTAAAGTCCTCCCTCTCCCCTCAATCTCATGTTGTGTTCTCATTAGGCAAGGATCTGTGTTTCATTCATATTTGTATCTAGGGCACAACACTGGGCCAGGCACAGGAGAAGCTGGGTGGAGATTGTGGAATAGGTGAATAAATAAATGATCCTTGCTACTAACTGGCTTAAGGGGAAAAGTCTAGTAATTCTATGAGCGTTTAATGAGACGAGCAAATTGATATAAAATTCTCTTAATGTGCACTGTATCAAAGGCTGGCATAGAAACATTCAGACTCAATCCCTGCTCTTCAAAGACTCTGTAAGACTGTGTGGCTACAGAGATGCCAGGCAGCATGGTGGTGCCATAAGAGGCCATAACAGCGGGAACAATCCTGGCTTTCCCACTATACTGGACTTTGGACCTACTGATGAACACTACTTGACTTAATTTTCCTCATATATAAAGTAAGAACACTGGACTAGATAAGTACCTTTCAAAAAATTTTTTTAAAGAACATATACCTTAAAAATATTAAACAGAACCCTGTACATGTATGCAAAAGAGATAAAAGCGGAGCTGTTTTCATCAGTTGAACTAGGCATAATACTTATGGGAAGCAAAAATGGGTCCCCATCAATTTTCCTCTTTCCCCTCACTCACACCCCCAGGCGAGGCCCCAAGACATCTCCCTGTAACCCAAGGTTACACTGAACCCAGTCAGAAAACCAATGATATAAAAACCTGTAAGGTTTATAACAGTTATAACATTCTCCGGTTCTAACATTCAACAATTCTCCCGTGATTTCCTCTAAGGTTCTAACATCCACATCAAGATGCCTCCTGTGTAAGTCTTCTATGCATTATCCTATAAATTTTGCAGCATCACTATCTTTCCTGTAACTATTTTCTAAACTACCCACTTGTAGGCTTATCTTTCAAGAAATGCGGTTCCTTCAATACCATTAACATCCTTTCTATAGCCTTTTACGGAGGCTTCATTACATAAAAACACTATGATCAGCAACAGAGGAGATAAAGGGGCAAATCCAGACATGTATCATTTCCTTAAAGAGCTTACAATCTAACGGCACATTACTACAAACAGCCATAATGGTGTGTAGAAACTGCTGGTGTCATCAGATAAAGTAAAATGGAAGCTTAAGGCTGGGATCATACTTCTGGTTAGCAAGATCAGAAAAAACTTCAAGAAAACAGATGGAATAGGAGCTGGACTGTGAAGGATGGTAGGCTTTGAACATAAAAAGATTATGGGACACAGGTTCCCAGCAGAAGTGACTTCACGAACACTGGCAAAAAGGCAGGCAGCGATGGGACTAGCATGGGTAGCTATACCTACTATGAGCCTAGTTGAAATGGGGGCTGTGTGAAGACAAGAATGGAGAACAAAATCAATAACTGGCAGAATAGGAATGGCCTAATTAAAGTTTTACAGCACATGGGAACTTCACAGAGGTTGAAGTACAGGAAAGACTGGAGATGGAAGCCCTTGTTAAGAAGGCAAACAGTATAAATGCCTGAATAACAAACGAATGGCAGGAGTGAAGAGGAAAGATGCTGTTTGGAGCCATTTCTGCAGGGGTTGGAAGTGGTGGCGTGGGAGGGTGTCAAAGATGATGTAAAGGCTAAAATCCAGGTAAGCCGGAAATGCTGGTGTCATTAATAGAAATGGAGCACACACGACCAAGTCTGGAGACAGACGATGAGTGCTAAGCGCCAGCAGAAACATCCTGCAGGAAAATGCAAACACTGAATTGAAACTTGGGAAAGAGGTCAGAGCTGTATATATATAGGAAGACTTTTTAGAGAACGGCAGAAGAAGTTTTAAGAGTGAATTGCAATTGCTGAGGAGGAGGCTACACTGGAAGAAGACAATTCTAAGTGTCCATCTCACACTAAGGGATAATATGAGGAAAATGGGTCAGAGAAAAAGTGTAGTTAGGGAGGCATGGGAGAACCGGGAGAGCACAGTGTCATAAATAATTATATCCATGTACGTACACATTTATGAAGGAAAAAGCTTGGTTCTTTTTTTTTTTTTTTTGAGACCAAGTCTCACTCTGTCACCCAGGCTGAAGTGTAGTGGCACGATCTCGGCTCACTGCAACCTCTTCTTCTTGGGTTCAAGCAATACTCCTGCCTCAGCCTCCTGAATAGCTGGGATTACAACTGCACAAAACCACGCCCAGCTAATTTTTATATTTTTGGTAAAGATGAGGTTTCACCATTTTGGCCAGGCTGGTCTCGAACTCCTGACCTCAAGTGATCCGTACTCCTCAGCCTCCCAAAGTGTTAGGATTACAGGTGTGAGCCACCGTGCTCGGCTGCTTAGTTCCTTTTCTAAAGGATCACATACGTTGTTATATGTCAGGGTTCTCTGAAGTGTGTTCTAAATAAAAAACACCAGTTTTAGATGTTAAAAGGTACTTTAAGATAAAAATAAGACTCAGTGATTTAATAAATTGGGGTATTGGTCATTTATTTCCTACAGAAATTCAAGATGTACGTCAGATTTTTAAATTCAAATTTCTCCTGCAGGAATTCAAGATGGACATCGATTGAACAGTCTGGTTACAGATCTGTTTAATTTTGTTTGAGCTAGCATTTATTCCAAGACTTAGGTGTCCCATAATCCCTTTGTTTTACATCTGCTTGAGAGAGTAGTACTTTTTCCACAGGAGGAAACATTGATATATGATAAAACTCAGAAATTTACAGAATATTAGAAGTAGAAAAAATACTTGTGATCATTTCATCCAATTCCTTCATTTTATAGCTGAAGACAGAAAGTTAATTATATGACAACCACTATAGTGTCTTCTTCTAATTCTTGATAAAGTACAAAAATGTAGTACATGTATATGCACATGAACAAGAGAGACAAACAAAAAAAGACAAAAGAAAAAGAAATTGAGGCTTTGAAAGCTACAGCATCAGACATCAACTGAAGAGCAACTTGCTTTATGTTCAGTGTTTTCGAACATTTCACAGTGTCATCCAGAAGGTTACACAAGGCTCAATAATTGCTCAGTCTTGCAAAAGGGGAAACTGAGGGCTACAGGTTAACTTGGTCAGTGAACCAGCTACTACATGAAAAAGCTGTAATTCACGTCAGAATTTATCTGACTCTGAAATCCAGGCTTCTGAATAAGATGCTCTGCTAACTTCACAAGAGGGCCACAGAAGAAGCCAGCTACTGGATAAACTCCCGCCCCTCCACCCTTGGATCACACGCAAGACACAGCTTTCTTGCATCCAACTCTGACTACCCATAAATGAATAAATAAAATCTGCTGTAACAAATTCAAAAAAAAGCTAGATTTACAAAAGAGGTCCTCAAGAGTATATGTATTTGTTTTTTAAAATAACTTCATAAAAGAATTTTCAATGTATTCTCTTGCCCAGAGTGAATACAATGATGCCATTTTTATTTATTTTCTCTAGACTGCATACTCTGCATATGTCAGGATGTCCTTTTTGCATTTCAGCAAGATTCTGACTATATCCTTCAAAAAATTTTTCTATGAAACCCACTTTTGTTCATGAGAAATAAGCCCAAAGATGAATGATCACCTTTGATAGCAGACCATGAATTCTTAATAATCTGTTTTCCCTGAAATGGAACGCTGCCTTTAAATGAGTCTCATCATGTATATACATACAGACACATAAGCCATATATATATACATATATGCAAATATTAAATTCTTAACTTTTGACTCCCTAACTTGCAATAGTACCATATGACTCTACAGTGAGTGGAAGCAATTCAAGTGGTGCTGATACTTTAAAAATTAATACCTGCACATTGTATGTAATACATAGTCAACTACTAACCCATGTTCCTCCAATGTGCAGATGATAGAACAAGTTTTATCTCCCAAGTTATGATTCTGTAAACCCGAGTTCATTGTAGAAGGCTGTGTTAGGTCATGTGGTAAAAAATACTTATGAATACTTAGTAAAAGCAAAAAATAAAATTCACGAAGCTCTAATTACAAAAAACACATTTTGACCTAATTTTCTGGTAATGTGACTAAAAATTTCATATTCTTCCATAATTTTTTTAAAAATTAAAACTTTGAACTGCTATATTGATTAGCGAAATTTTAACAAGAGTGGTATTGTTCTACGTAGATTTAGACGTAGCTCATCTTTAATAGCATATCCCAAAGTATGTACCCTGAAACACTACATTTTACTGTCAAAGAGAGTCAGGAAATACTACACGTTCTATTCCTCTCTTGGGGACTGATAACACACATTGGCATTGGATAAGCTCCTAGAAGTTCTGCAGTTTAAATAAAATAGGTTTATTCAATCCATCATCTCTCAAGCTTATTCTATTCACAGAACCTTTTTTGTTGTTGCTGTTGCTGTTTTGTGCTTAGTATCTATCAATGTCCCAGTATGATTAGTACCATAGGAAATAAACCTGGGAAGCCATGATCTATGATGATAGAAAGGGGATAATTAAAATAAGTGGGTGATACCAAAACCATTTGTATTAAATTTTGGAATACATGCTATTCACCAGCATATTTTTCTTTTAGACTGTTACTTTTTAAAAGGTAAATTTAAAAGATAATTAATTACCTACAGGTACAGCAATCATTTTAAAAACAGAATAGGAACACACTGAGTACCAAAAAAACCACAGTATACTCTGGTTTTACCTGTGTAAAACCAAAGTAGGTTTTACTTGTATCTGAGTTTACTTGTATAAAACCAAAGTAGGTAAGACACTTGGTGTAAAATGAGAATTGGCAATGCATATTTAATCCTCCTTTAAGATCACTTCCAAGGCATAAAGACAGTAGGAAAAAAGTGAGTAGTTCATTATTAAAAGGCTGAAGTCCAGCACACTTACACTGCCCATTCAAGCTTCTCATTCTTGATTGAGTTGTACAGAGCCTGTAAAGAGAGAAAATGAGATCAAATTATTCTTTCCATTCTGTTCCACATTTTGAATTCAGCAAATGACCAAGTAATTCCTTCCTAACAGGATAGGCGCGAAGCCCCCCCCCGTCAGCCATCTTGGCTTTAGAAAGGTGAATACATGGAGAGGCAAATGAGCACTGGGTGAACGTTTCATGAAACAAAGAGACTTTCACAAAGTTAAAACTGTCTTTTATCAGTAAGGCACAGTACTGTACTACATTTCGCTATCGTACCATATTAGGATGTGATTAAAATTACACTGTGCATGCTATTTCTCATATTGAAAATATGGTCTTGTAGTTTCACTCAGTTGGCCAGTGGAGTACTCATACATTTTTCTTTTCTTCTTTTTGTCAGTCTGAGTCTCACTCTGTTGCCCAGGCTGGAGTGCAATGGCACAATCTTGGCTCACTGCAACCTCTGCCTCCTGGGTTCAAGTGATTCTCTTGCCTCAGTCTCCCAAGTAGCTGGGATTGCAGGTGTGCACTGCCACCACACCTGGCTAATTTTTGTATTTTTAGTAGAGACGGAGTTTCACCATGTTCGCCAGACTGGTCTTGAACTCCTGTTCTCAGATGATCCGCCCACCTCACCCTCCCGAAGTGCTGGGATTACAGGTGTGAGCCACCGTGCCTGGCCGCCCTTTTTTTTTTTTTTTTTTTTTTTCGTTTTTCATTACTGAAAGAAATAGAATTGTTTTCATGGCAAATTAAAGAGTAAGATACATGGTAGGGGAACTGAAGCCAGACATGGAAAAGCATCTTAGAACTGTTTTAGAGTTTCCATACCACTGACTTAAGCAGTTTTTATTACCAATGAAACATTCCAATTCTGCCTTACAGTTAAGTATTACATTGTGGTGTGTGTGTGGTTGTGGCAGCTTGGACAGAAAGCTTCTTTAGACCCTTGGTAACAATAATGGTATAGTTAAGTCAGCACAAGACTGCCACCCTGATTCTCCCAGCTTTAGCATTACAAAGGTCCTTGTAGTCAGCTTGTTCCACTATACCAACTACCAAGAAGCATTTTTTTAAGAGACAGGGTCTTGCTATGTTGCCCGGGCTACAGTGGAGTGGCTATTCACAATCAGGATGATAGTGACAACAGCTTCAAACTCCAGGGCTCAAGTGATCCTCCTGCCTCAGCTTCCTGAACAGCTGGGACTACAGGCACATACCAGTGTCTGGCTTTACTTTTAAATTTTAAGTAAGATGTTATAAGGAACACACAAATGCATTTCTAAGATACAAAACCACAAGAGCAAATTATATTCAACAAAAAAACTGTATGCATAACAATATTATGATGATGTTGGAACATTTTTCCTCAAAGAATGACTTGGATCAATTAGAACTTGAAGGCTTAGCCAAGACTTCATTTACTCTGAGACAGAAAAAAGGGGGATCATATATCATCTAACCTCTTATCTTTCAAACAAGAAAAGGCAGGTTCAGAAAGTTGTCCAAGCAGCACAGCAGAGCAGAATTGCCTTGTATTTCTATCCTTTGGCCCTTAACATTGTCTCACTCAAGCGTTTACATGTGTGTAAGCAAACCCTGCACACCAATAGTGAATTCACTTTTCAGCAAAATACTTCCAAATTCAGTGTAAATTTATTTAAGATGCAGATTTTACATTATTTATGACTCAATACATGTATTCTTAGCCAGTATCTTGACAAACTTCATAAAAATTCTCCATTGTGGCTGCAATGGTCAATTCAACTACTGAAAAATTACAGTAGCTAATAAAAACCAGTTCACATTTTTTATTTTTCAGGACATGGTATGTATTCTCAAACACAAAAGGGATAGAACACACAATTAAAATATGGAGTATACTGAGGCACAAAGACCATGCTATAAATTGGGTATCCATTTTGAAGAACTCAGGTTTACTGAAGAGCTCCAATCTATGATACAGTTAATGTCTCAGGAGGCTGAACACCTATGGAAACGCAGAGAGAGCTGAATTCTAGCTCAAGTCTCAGTAGGGCTTTTGTTGGACAAATGCCTTTTAAATGAATTTTATTACTTGCATGTGCCATTTTGAACCCACAAGTAACACTGGGCTGAGAAACTACTAATGAAAAGAGATCATTAAAGTTTCTTTAGATACTACTATCATACTCAATATTATCCAGAGTAATTCACAATGTGGCAGATTTTTTAAAAATCTCTTCATAAAGGTAGATGGTTGAAATGACAGCTAAACATCTAAAATTTTTCTAATACATTCATTCCTGTTCTAGCACAAATTTTTTCCAATACTTTTGCCCTCAAGAATATTTTGCTTAAAGAGAAGTAGAATTCTAAATTTAAAAATTCTTGCTATTCAATCAGCCAGATAGCTCATGAAGATAATCTATTACAAAGCATCTTGCCGAATTCCACAGACTTGCAGTAGTGCAGATCAAGTCCTCTCATTGTGTAAATAACATAGACTAGATTTTTTTTTATTGTAGCATGCCAAATCCAAACAGTGGATGTCATCCCTATTCTTTCCAATTGCAAAATTGCAAAAGAATTTTCCTCATTCTTTGTAGTGCTTTATCACGATTCACTGTTTTTCTTAATAAAAGGAAGACACTTTACAAATGCATTCAAAACTTAAATACACTCTCTACACAACTTCCCATCTTTTTATCTACTCAGCCTAGTTAAGAAATGAATTCCCTTGATTCTTCTTTATCTCTAGCCTGACAGTCATTACTTCCTTTCCCGTGTAGCCTAGACGTCATGGTCTCTCACTTCCACCAGTCTAGTTAATCTCTTCAACTACTTTGTTCTGCTGCTGTACATGAAAATATTAATAGATATTATATAATTTTTTCTTTTTTGAGACAGGGTCTTGCTTAGTTGCCCAGGCTGGAGTACAGTGGTGCAGTCATAGCTCACTACAGCCTCAAAATCCTGGGCTCAAGGGATCCTCCTGCCTTAGCCTTCTGAGTAGCTGTGGTTACACCTATATAACACTCTTGATTAATCCTGCTCTGATTTCTCCATATGAAAATCCTACAGATTAGTTAAGATTTCTTTAACTTTCAAATGTCAAATACCTAAACACTGCCTTAAGGGTAAGGAGGTCTAATAATTAATGTAGTCAGATCATAAAAAAGTATGCATGTAGTAGCCTCAGGGGTCCAGGAATTTCTCTCTCATCTCAATTCTCCTCTTTCTACTCCAACCAACTCCAGTCCTTGTTTCTCCACTAACAAGAAACGCATCCAAAACAAGCAACACCTTTTCACAGCTTGGCTCTCTCAATAGTAACAACAAACTAGTTCTTTCTCCCAGCTCCGGTATGAAAGGCCCCAGGAGAGGTTTAGTTCCCCATCCTTCCCATGGACGGATCTGTGTGGCTAGGAGATAAAGCTCTATGACTCGGCCCATCTCTGAAGCCCAGTGGACTGGGGGGTTGCGGGGAGGTGGGTATTAATGAGCGGTAGCACTGAACTTCGCGGTCTCCCCAATTTGTATGTGACTAATTCAGGACTACTAGAGAAGATTAAACAATAGAACAAATTAATGCCATTGAATATTCATCAACTGAAGCTTCAGCAGGGTCTTCATTCATGAGGTTCTTGCCATCTTCTCTAAAATGCATCTGTACTAGCACCTGTTTCTCCTTTCTGATGGTAAGGGAAGAACCAACAGAATGGGATTTCAGAACTGAACTCGGAGATCACGAAACAGAGGTTTCCTTACAAGGATGAGGAAATGAAATCCCAAGTTAATTAACTTCTCTCCACGTCCCATAGCTGGTTGTCATAAAGACTGACTCAAGTAAATAACACTTCATGTTTATATCAACTAACTACATTCTCTCCTCCTAAGACCAAACCTTATGGCATCATATATGCCTGGCCAAAGTCAGAGCCCATTTGAAAAGATAATAAGACTTGTGCCTCTCTCAGAATATATTCAAATAATCTGGTAATGTTCTATTCTTAAAAGATGAGCTTTAAAGAGCCACCGTTGCTAGGACACATGCTTGAAGTGCCTTTGTCACAGAGGAAGATGGGCTGGCTGCACTGATCCTATACTCTCAGTCCATTTAGGACCAAAAGCATTTGTCATGAAAATGGTTAAAACTGGAGGCATAGTCTACGGCTCAGAAAAACAACTTATCTGCTTATCTGCAGCTCTGCCAGGGGTTATCTGGCCTGGCCCCAAGACGGCAGGGTTTGTGAGGAAACACTGCTATGGACTGGTAGTTAGAGATAAGGGGGGCAAGTTACCACATGGACCTTCATGGGACAGGACAGCCCACATCAATACATACAGTGAAGTGATAACTCACTGTGAAAGGCTGAAGAAGAATGCCCCCCACAAAGATGTCCAGGTCCCATTCTCTAGAACTTGTGAATGTTACCTTATATGGCAAAAACTTTAAAGATGTGATTAAGTTAAAGAACTTGAGATGGGGAACGTACGTGGGTGGGCTCTAAATGCAATCACAAGTGTCTTTATAGAAGGCAGACGGAGATTTAAGAAAGACAGAAAAGAAGGCGACATGAAGAGGAATATGGAAATTAGCGTGATACACACATAACTCAAAGAACGCTGGCGACCACCAGAGGTTAGAAGAGGCGAGAAAGAGATTTTTCTCCTGGACCCTCCAGGGGGTGAAAAGCCCTGTCGACCTCTTGATTTCAGACTTCTGGCCTCTGCAATTGTGAGAATGCATTTCTGTTTTTTAAGACACCAAGTCTGTGGTAATTTGTTATAGCAGCCCAAGGAAACCAGTACTCCAGGGTGCAAGAGAAAAGCAGATACCTAGCAAAGAATGATGATATACCCACAGATGGATTTTAAGAAATCGTTCCAGGGTCAGTTCCTAGGTCAAATAGTCTTTCACCACAGTGGTCTTATCTAAAGATGTGACAGTGCACACAAGAATCGACTGAGGAATTTTTTAACACACTGATTATTGTGCCCTGTCCTAGATCTACCAAATCAGCTCCTTGGATG